TATATATATATATTCTTTTAGTTAAAATATTGAATTAATTTGGTCTTGTCTCATAAATTTTAGGTTTTAATTGGATTAAATTTAAGTTTAAATAACTTTTTTTAACAAAATCTTGGGACCAAATAAAAATAAATGTAAATATGACTAAAGAAGGTAAAAGAGAGACCAATGCTTGGTGTTTGAAACATCATATTTATAGGAACTTTTTATTATTTTTTTAATCATAATATTTATACGAAGTATTAATTTTTGTCTATGTGAGAAATTATGAGTACATATAAGATGAATATTTTCCTCTCAATAAATAAGAGTGACAAAGTGAGTCAACTCACTTAAAGTAAGATGAATATTTTACTCTCAACAAATAAGAGTGACCAAGTGAGTCAACTCACTTAAAGAGAGATAGGTTGACTCATCAAGAAGTAGAGTGGGTCAGATTAACCCATAAAAAAATGAGTTAAAAAATGTAACACATTCCACTTAACAGTGAGTTGACGTGTTGGTCCACTTTAGTGGGTTGGTGGGTTGGTAAATTGACTCATCTTCAACCCATTTATTTTTTTTTTAAATCTCAATTGAAATATTTCAATATACATTATCACTTCAACTTATATAATTTATTATTATTTTTAAAATTAACTAGAGATATTATATTTTTCATGAAAAGGCACGAAGTAATATATATTTCAATTAAAAAATACATTATACATGAAAATTTACTAGTAAAAAACATGTGATCAAAACAATATACTTCTATTTCATATAAAATGAGAATAATTATCTAGAAAAAAAGTTAAAGTATAAAATAAAAACATTGATCTAACATAAATTCTCTACAAATTTATTTTTTTAAAGAAAAAGTGAGCTGGCAAGTTACCCCATCGAATTAGCAAGTTGGGCAGGTTAGTAGGCTCATTTGTCTAATCTAACCTATCAAAATTAGACGGATTAATGAGTTGATCTACCAAGTTCAACCCATATTATCACTGCTACCAATATACTATACTTCATATTCAAAATTAGGATTCAAATCCTGGACATGTAAATTAAAAGATACAAGTTGTTATCATATGTCAACCAATATTGGTAAAAAAAAAAAATTTATCATTGCGACAACACTATGTGAGAAAATAATACATTTAATTTTATAATTGAAAATTAAAAATTTAATTAAATTACTTTAAAAAATGAATTTAAATAGACTTGAAACATTAATCATTAAATCGATAGTAATATTATCAAGAATTATTAACATAAATAGTTTGATACTTGTATTTCTTAATTAAGCACCAATGTTTGATTTATGACTTCACCATGGAGTTGCAATTGTGTATTCCATAAGAACCAACCTAATATAAGAACCAACCTAATGAGAAAGTTATGCCTTTTTATTAAAAGAAAAAATCAATGGCTATTGAATTAAAAAAATTATTAGTTAAAATAAAACATACAAATTATAAGAAGTCTTCAATTTCAAAAATGCTAAAGCCTCCGAATTCGAATTCTAAAATATCCTCCGAATGCTTAAAATTTTTAAAATGTCAAAAATGTAAATTGATCAATATGAGTGTTCTTAAGTGTTTGGACAAATATTTTCAGAGGATGATTTTGAAATGTATAGCATTTCTCCTTCAATTTACACGCAACAGACCTACTTGACTCACATTCACGTGCATGAGTTTATAATAATTGCTAGCTTTATTGTGTGTGTGTGTGTCACATGGCTACTCCTTCACAACACTCTATTCCTCTTGTCACTCTCAGAACTTCCAATAGAGGCCTTCTCATCGCTGAAGCCAGTGTTGTTTCTGAAACTGTTCGAGGGTACTTCATTAATTCTTCTTTGCACATTTCTTCTTCATCTTCACACAGTACACTCTCTCCATTACCATGTCATTGATTGCATGTGAAGCTATCCGAACACACCAGGCATATGGACAAAAGTCTTGTCAATGACTTCAGACTTGCTGCAAGGAATGCCATATATTGAAGCTGGTATGTTCTCTCACTTTGCATGCTTTGCTCCTACAAAACTTTCAAATTCTCTTGTTGTCTCACTAACTAGACTAACATATATATTGATAAAACTTACCTGCACTAGTACTAATACATAAGTACTGCTGTCGAATTTGGAGTTTCACTCAAGTAATAATACGTAATAAAATTCATATGCTGATCAGAGAACAACACCAGCGATACTTATGGTATTATATAGCTTAGTTTTTTTTTTTAATGTGATTGTGGAAAATGTAGGTTTGACACAACAGATGAGTATGGTGGATGCCTCGAGAACCGTTGCACTTGCAGGTTTGGTTTGGAAGTTGTTGAAGCTGTTGTTAATGAGATAGAGGCAGAAAGAGTTGGAATTAGGCTATCACCTTTTACAGAATATTGTGAGTGTGGAGACTCAAATCCTGAACAACTAGGGCTATACATGGTTCATGTCCTCAATAAGTATGGCATTCTCTTCTGTCACATGGCGGAGCCAAGAATGAAAACTGTTGGAGAAAAATTTGAATGCAGTGAGAGTTTGCTTCCTATGAGAAAGAATATACATCACCTTTTACATAAAAATGATGTTGTACAATTTTTGTTGTAGTACTCTAAATTAGAATAGAGTTAATTATCTATGTACTGTTAGTGTAAAGGTTTTTTACACGGACAACTAATCATATCTTTTAGTAGTAACATGTCAGTTGCTTATTTAATGAAATAAATAAAATAAACAACATTAAAAGATATAATTGGTTGTCAGTATAAAAAATTTTACACTGACAGTGTAGGGATGATTAACTCATTAGAATATACATCAAAGAATGTATTTGGTTCAATTTATTTTAGATAAATAATTCTTAATTTTAACCAACATTTTGCAAAGTTCTAAAAGATAAGTAATTTTTTTCCAAATTAATTACTCTTTAATCCTAAACTTAAATTGACAAATAAACAGAATAATTTTTTTAGAAGAAAAAATATGCAAACTTATTAAGATCGTAGTAAAGGCCCAAAACTGTCTGCATCCATGGGGCTTATTTTCATTATGCAAACTCATAATGTGTGTTGTCCAGTTTTTGCCAAATATTCTTATCCTATTCAAGACTTCTTTGTTAAAATCCTACACAACAATAAATAAAATAATAAAAAAAACAAAAAAAGTATCGTAATTTAGGCGTTTGATTTTTGACCCACTCCATTTAGCCCGGTTATTTGTTTGGGTCGGGCTAAAGTTCTGCAATTTCATTTTGGGCCAACAGTAAGGCCAGACACCCGGTTAAATTTATTTTAAAGAAATATTTTATATTAACTTTCTAAAAGAATTTCTCAAAAGAAATAACTATTTCTTAAAAAAAAAAGTAGCTATTAGCTGGTATATGGTTAAATTATAAATATAATTATTTTTCTAAAATAATAGATAAAACGTACTTCCATGCAAATGCACATTTTTGTGAAACGGCAAGATGATGTTGGTATTTTAGAACAAAGGTAATGCTTGAAATATAGATAGAATATAAAATAAAATAAATTCCTTTATTTTTTTTATTTTATAAATTTTGATATTTTAATGAAAATAAAAATATATAGCTTTTATAATTTTATATTCCGTCCTATTTAATTTTAAAAAATGTCAAATAAAAATATAGTTTATATATTAGATTTCGTCTTATTGAAGCCCATTTACCGAAGTTGCAATGTCCCATTCTGCGGATAAGATAGACTTTGATTGTTTTAAATAAAATTGACCAGTCTCTGGCCCAATAATAATTAATATCTCAAA